TTTGGTGCTAAAAAAAAAAAAAAAAAAAAAAATTAGCAAAGAATTTAAAAGAAAATAAATGCCCTTTAAATTCTTTGAACTGGGAAACTAGCAGATCATTTTGTACCAAGCCTCAGCATTTAAATGTGCCATGAGTTATCTGTTTCCACTGTTTGTGCACATACATTGTCTAGTTATTGACAAAATTGTCAATGCTAATATTGTTAGCATATAGTGTCATAAAAATCGATAAGACGTCCAAGCTGTTGCATCACAGTATTGAAGCTTAACACCAACTTCAAACACACACAAAATGCGCTTACTATACAGAGTGCTGACCTGCAATTAGATTTTATCCACGAAAAATGTTTGCAGATTGGATGTCATATTGATTGCCAGAGATCAGGCCTGCCATAGTGTTCTTTTGTAATAGGTACCCTCCTCTTTTGCCAATTAAAAATTGATGCTGGTGGGCTCTCTTCACACCTTATTTGCCAAAGTTACACATTTTCTGATTGTTCTTATGGTTATGGTTGGCGGATACCTTTATGATTTGTTAAGTTGTATATTTTTGAAATTATATTGTTCACCCGACACCCGTGGCATGTAGTTCCAGGTGGCAGGCGGGTAGTTGTTTTCCACATTTAGCCCTGCATCGGGCAAGCAGGGCTAAATGTAGTGCAGTGGAACCATTTTGTACAAGTAATCTTAGGCGGCTGTACAGCCGCTCAAGATCACTTGTAAAACATCCTGCTTATCACTCCCCCCCACCCCTCCTCACCCTTCCATGGTCCGTCCGTCCCCTCCACGACCCCCGTCGACCACCTCCCTCAGTGCCATGGTTTTCAGGGTCCCCCGCTCTTCTAGGGGAACCGGGACCGCAGCAATCACTTCAGGATGGAGAGCAGGGAGCAGAGCGGAGAACATTAGTTCTGTGCTCTGCTCTGTGTAAACAGTGAGATTGGAGAGCTGCACTCGCAGCATTCCCATCTCAGCTGTCAAAGGAGAGTCAGCACAGTTCTTTGCTACTCCTGTATTGGAAGTGATAGGTACTCCTGTATTGGAAGTGACACCACACCTGAGACCCCCACGGGCCACCTGGGGCTCCAGGCAGCTCACCTGACCCCCCACTGGCAACCTGAGACCCCCACTGGCCACCTGAAAGCCTACGAAGTCCCCTGAGACCCCCAAAGTCCACCTGAGATCCCACACAGCCCACCTGAGACCCAACACAGCCCACTTGAGATCCCCACAGCCCATTTGAGACCCCCACAGCCCACTTGAGACTCTGCACAGCCCACCTGAGACCCCCACAGCCCACTTGAGACCCCCACATCCCACCTTAGACTCTGCACAGCCATCCTGAGACTCCGCACAGCCATCCTGAGACTCTGCACAGCCCTCCCTGGAGACCCTGGAGACATCAGGCTGCCACCCTGGAGCAACACAGATTATGTAGCTTCATATTATTCTGCATTGCTGTATAATATATTGCTGGGATTTGTAGTCCTCTATAGCTGGGGGTATTCTGCATTGCTGTATAATGTATTGCTGCATGGCGGACCTCCATGGTGGATCAGTGTCTTTAGACCTGTTTGTGTGCTCTCTTCTTTTGGTACAGCAGCACCCCTCCTGACCCACCACAGAGGTGAGGCTTGAAATTCAAGTGTCTTCTCCATGACAGATTAGAAGGGGCAGGGCCAGGAAATTAGAAGTGAGCACAGAAGTGGCTCCTAATTTAGCAGCACTGGAGAATGAGGTAGTTTAAAGCCTCTCCTCTGTGGTGGATCAGGAGGGGAAAACCGAGT